TCAAAAAACTAATAACACACTGGAAGTTAATTATCATTATGAAATTTACATGTATTTTAAAATTTTTATTTCTTTGTAATATACATTTTATTAAAACACAGAGTATTATTACATATATTTTAAATATATTCTAAAGAGTATTATTACATATATTTTAAATATATTCTAAAGTTATCGCTGTTTTTCTGCACGGCGAATTTTGCTCGTTCGTGAAATCTCCTCATCGAATTTATAATCCTTCGTCTGAGATCCGCGCATCTTGACGTGCCTGGCGTGACAAATTTCGATGAGAACGTATGACGAGATTCCTCGCCGACGAAGTTTGCGACCCTTTCACGACACGAGGAAAGAATGCGATTTATCGTCGAAAAATAAAAAATAGCGGAATAATTACGGGAGAGAGAGAGCGAATAATTAAAACAAACGGCGCCACTCTTTTCGCGCTTTGAAATTTACAGTACACGCAATTATTTATTTCAAGATACACGATGCCTCTGTAAATGCACGCGGATTTATAGACACACGCCGGAATGAGTCTGGAAGAATTTGAGATTAAACGGATTACTTCGTTAGGCACCGGTTGACCTATTTATAAAGATGTTGAAGTTTATTTGAGAGGAAAGCTTATGAAAAGACAAAAATTAAAAACTACATAATTCGCTATTCCCGAATCAGAGATAGTCGGAAAATAATAGAGGCATATAATTTTCTTCGTTTAACGTTAAATCTTTTTTTTCTTTTTTCTGACTACATTTTACGGATCACTATTAAAACAATGAGAAAGAGGATACATCAAGCTGTAGTTAAAGTTAATCTATGTTAGTGGCATCGACCCTTAAATAAGTAAGGCTCGGCACATTTAGTACTAAACGACGGGTACATAAATCAGAAACGTTTATGACGGGCAAATCCGTTTTGATCCTTGAGCAATTGCTTCAATGACGTCAATGTGTATGACACCTATATATTTCGCAGTAAGTGTAACAAAGTATATTAACGTGATATACGTATGACAATTTGTTAGATTAGAAACCTCGAGAATGAAGGATATTTAACACCGGTAACGCGAAAATATCTCAATATGAGATAAAATAAACACATATCTTTCTTTAAAACAATATTGAATGAAAGAAATCTGTAAATGAATTTTGCTTTAATATTATTTTTGCAATTATTCAATTTTAATAGTATACTTGAACAGTATAAAGAAAATATTGGATAGAACAAATTTAAAGATTGAAAATTATTGTACCATATGCTTGTAAATTAACACGTGTGTACATATATGTATGTGTCATTTAACGTGACGTACATTGTGGATATATATTCGTTCATTCTTAACGTTCCCTAGGACTAATATATGGCCTGAATAACTACGGTAATTCGTGCGTCACGTGGGAATGCCATCGCGGGATGGCGTAATGAATGAACTATAGTGGGTTTCAGGGTCAGTACGGGACGAGAGCAAGAGAGACAGAGAGATAGATGACGAGGGAAGATGATAGAAAACACGGCGCATAAAGCCCGCGGTTATAAATTATTTCGGTTGCCCGCTAATTCCGTCACGATACAGAATGGTGAATCGCACTGATGGTAAACCACCACCACGTGCGGTATGGTTACTTCATGGGGGCCTTCACACGGGCGGATATATATCGTAAACACATCGATATGCTCGTGAGCATCGTCAACATGAATATATCGCGTTATCAATCAGCCGATTATGATGTTCGCACAATGATCATCAATATTAACAATGCTCGAAACGCCGATAGTGATCGCCAAATCGTGTGAGGGCACCTTAAACTGGCCTAATTCTTGAGGGTTTATCTTTATCTTTGCTCGTGCAAGGATCAAAGGGTTATTTTCATCTACAAAAAAAGAAACGCTTTAGAGTGCGTCTGGTACAGTAATTGGAAATAATTCTCGTTGCTTAATAATGAATACCGATTCAAACGCTTACATCAATAAAATATATACATTATACATGTTATTTTTATATTTAAAAAAATATAAAAAATATAAAATATATATTGCAGTATTTTATTTTAAAGAAAGCTAAGAACTTGTAATTTGAAAACTAATATTATCTTAGTGAGTTTCTCTCTTATCTTTGATGAGTTTCATTCTTTCTTCCCCTTTTTTTTTTTTTTTTTTACGTGACTAACATAACGAGAGGTTTATCGTCGGATTACTCCGTAAGTATTAGACCCATGATTTTCCGGGTAATTCGACTATTTAGGGAAGTCAATCAGAAAACGTATTTCCCGAACGAGACGGTTACACGGGGCCGATTTCGCAACCAATTCCTGTAACATCGGATTATTACGCGGGGCGAATACGCGAACTCGATTACGAAATCGATTACCTATTTGCACGGCTTGATTAACTACCGCCATGTGTAAAGCAACGAACTCGATTATGCGCGCGCCAAATCGGATTTGCACCGCCACGTGCACGCGAATCGCACGATCGCGCGATAACTCCCGGGACAAGATCCTGGGAAGCATGAAAATCCAGCTCGATATTACCTTGGCGATAAGAGTGGTTTAACCCATATCAGTACGCGCGCGACTTCATTAACATAAATTACTCGCGTAGAATAATCGCGAGGATTTCTTCGTAAATTAATTGAGAAAAGTATTGTAATTATTAAGTCACTATATATTAGCTATACTTTTTAAAGATTTTTAACGTTTAATTTAAAAAGCCTTGATATATCGACTTTTTTTCCTATTTATATTGGAAAAAGAATGGCACAGATTAGCGGTTTTCAATGGCCGTAATTCTTAATCTCATTATTCTCCTTGGAGGAACATAACGGCGCGTTAATTACATAATTTCTTGAAATGTGGATCATCTTTCATTGTCTTCCTCGCCTCTCAAGTGAACTGTATAACGGAATTCAGGGTCACAGCAATGCGCAAGACGATACGAGGCAGCCGCCTGGAATCCGCTAAATTATTTCGGCTGCTCGCTAATTTCGTCACATCGTGAAGGATATGCCATCCATGGCGCATCGTAAACGTTGGCTCACCATCCACCAGGCGACTTCCCGTGAAATTCCAGTGGTTAATGGCCGGTCTCGCTAACTATTCTCAGGATG